ATATTTATATATAACAGATCGTTCGTTTTGGGGTGTCCCATTTCTTAAACGTGTTTCTTGGTGAATCATCCCTCATTTTGTGTGTCTTCTTTCACTGTTTCCCCTTACTGGCTGCCATGCCGAGGTTCTTGTCCTTCGCTCCCAACATGCTGTACATCTCACAAAGGCCTCCCGGTAACGATCCCAAAGGTGACGATCCCAAGCTTTTCAGGTCGGCGAATGTCGACATTTTTCTCTCTGTTTCTCCAGAAAAATGATGATGTTTACCGTAGTTGACAATCAGAAATTGTGATGTCATTTATTTCCTGCAAACATGATGAGATTTACCCTCTGGTTATGACTAACATAGCCATGGTATAGATGGCCCTAATCGAAATAGATGGTTTACCTGGGTTTACCTCTTAAAAATGGGTGGATTTTCCATGGCAAACTGTTAGTCATAACCAGAGGGTATATAGAGATTTATGCACAACCTGTAGATCGAACTCAGTCTTGTCAGTCACTGTGGTCTGTGTCGATCCTAGTGCCCACACTAGCCAAGCCCTATAATTTATGTCTAGTAGAGGACACCCAAAATGGGCTGTATCGTGATGTCATTGGGAAATGCCACATAGTTTGCCATCAGACGTGGGGACGGGGATCTATACTCAATAAACAAATGAGTGTATAACTCTTCTTAAGACCGTTTGGTGATCTAGTTAGTGCATGTTATTGCAGTATAGCCTTTGAACATTACCTATCCCCAGGTGGTTTACCTATTAATTAAATATATTCACAATTATTCACATTATATAGATGTACATACGTATAAATCACCAAAATCACCAAAATGTGATGAAGTCTTGGACTTCTCGGCTGAGTTGTAATCATCCCCATAACAACGACCTAGTATATTTAAGTACAACATAGTTTTTTACCCACTGTACCAACCAATAGCGGAATTTGCCTGGTATTTCACCATGAAAAACCTTTATTTTTCCATACCTCAAGGCAGCCTTGATTAAAAACGGGGACTGGGAGGATGATTCATTCCAATTCCGGCAGGTTTGAGATGACACCCTTTGCATTTACCGTGGACAACCTGCTGATGATTTTCAATTCCATCCTTCAGGCGACTCAGAAACGGTCGGACCTGACTGGTGTGGAAAACAACAGTCGACTCGGAAAGCAATTAACTTTCCATGTCGTTCCCAAGATTTTGAAAATTCCATAGTTATGTGAAGTTGGAATCTGAGATTAAAAACAGGCGATATGGAAAAGGTTGTTGGTTTCCCTATGATATGATCCACTCCATTCTGTGGGCCCCTCCAGCATTTTTTTTCGGGTCGCCTAGGTATGGCCCTGGCCCAGAAACCCAAGGCGTAGATTGAACAGGCAGTACTGACGGTTGATGTTGTCTTATAGCCATGTGGCAACGGTTGCAATTACCGCGGCATTTATTGCTTTCGAAAATCCAGAGGCTTACCCACGAGAGATAGGCTGGGGGTGTTTTCATCCATTTGGTCAGCCATTTGGTGCGGTGGGTAGCATCTCAAAAGCTGCAAAACAAGGGTGTGTTACCCCATCAGTATGACTGGTTTCAAAGACGTGATATATCTTTCTTCTCGTGCAGAGGCTAATCATTGTTGGTTACATCATGTTACATCCAGATGGATCTTGACTATGCATGTGCATAACGTTTACCTGTGGTGTTTTATATCTTCATTCCATGAAAGATCTCCATTGTACCATTATATGTGTCAGAAAAAATGAAAATATATATATATATAGGATTCATTGAACGTGGCTTGAGGCTGAAGGCTGTGAGAAGCAAGATCTCTGCGAGTGGCATCACAGTTGCAATACAAGAGCATGCAGGAGCAGTTGGCCCAGGCCCAGAAGTTGGCAGAATTGGCCTTGAGCAAAGAACCAGTCCAGGTGACGCCGAGCAGCTGAGCGCAGCTGTGATGCGTCTCAGGTGTCATGAGTTCCATGGCAGGTCGCTGGGAATTCCCCGAGCAAAACTAGCATCAAAAATGGGAAGGTCATCGAACAAAACGGCAGATTTTCTATTGCCATGTTTGAGTGCAAGAAGATACAGCCTTTAATAGATCGTGGTGAAAGCGACAAATATGGCTACTACATGAACTGAGTAGCATGACCAAGTAAGTATACTGAGTAAGTCTAAAATTCTTCGAACCAGGGTGGATATATAGTCAGCATTCAATCACGCTTAAACCGCGGGGCCAACTGGGATCGTCCAGTAGGATGTCACGGAGTGTGGATCCCCGGGGTGCACTAAGAGGGGCTTCCTTATCCCTCGACGAGCACCCCTCTCCCTAACATCTGGTTCCCATTTGGGCGAAAGTGCCCTGGCCCCAGTGTGGCTTTTTAGCCCCTGTGTGGCCAAGTTACACATTCTTCACCTGTGGCCCTGGCCTTCTTAGAGACATGACCAGGCAGCTTGGAAGGCTGGAGTGAGGCAAGGAGGCCCTAGCAGGCCGAAGAAGGTGAGGCAAGGGCTGGGCCTAGTAGAGCCAAAGTGCCAGACGGCAGGTTCGAAACGTCTGAAGATACATGACCAGGCAGCGTGGAAAGCTGGAGTGACGCAAGAAGGTCCTAGCAGGCCAAAGCCGCACACCTACGGTGATCCCGGGCGCCGCCCCGCCTAGGCCAAGGCCAAGGCGAGGCAGGGGTCGGCGGATTAAATAGATATAAATATAAATAAATACTGTATATATATAGATGTATGTATATGTAAAATATTGTATTATATATATAATGAGTATATATATATATTAATTTAGTATAATATAATATATGTATATATATATATACTATTTAAATAATTTAGATTATATATATATATTTACTTTATGATTTATTGTAATTATATATTTACTATATATATTATTTAGAATATATTTTTTTTTAGTGGTAGTTGCCAGTTGCCATAAACCTAAGCCAACCAACTTATAAAACCTTTTTTGCTAACTGCAGTTGGTTAAATTGTCAGCTGCCTCGAGGCGCAGATGTGTTTGCGCGCGCGACAAATCCTCGACCAGGCCTGTGAGATCGGTCTGGTTAGTGCCATTGTTAGATTTCTTCATATGGGGGTTTCCACAAATGGAGGCACCCCAATAGCTGGATTGTTTATAATGGAAAATCGATCTATACATGGATTTGGGGGTCCCCCATTTCAGGAAACCTCTATATGGGTAGTTTTGGGATCTAACCAACAAAAAACAAGTGATTTGATAGGACGTTTAAGGGATTTAACATGATTTAACCTATTAGTGCCATGGGCAAGCTGGATTGGAAACTGTTTACAAGCAACAATATGGATAGAATTCAATAGGAATTCGTGAAAATTAAAGGGAGTTACTTGGATTTAATGGGAAATTGTGAAAACTATGTATGTTTGGGATACCCTCTGGCAATCTAACATAGCTACTGATATGGTATAGATGACCAATTTAGTTCGATCATTTACCATGAAAAATGATGGTTTTCCATGGCGGAGTGCCAGTTTACCAGAAAGTATTACCAACAATATGGATATAATTTGATTTACTGGGAGTTTAAAAATTAGAATTAATGGGAATTGGTGGGGTTTTCGTACAAAATGGGATGATCATCATCCAGTAATAGGTGTTAATAGCTAAAATCCCGTTGTAAGGAATCTTCTTCACAATGGCGGTATGACCATACCCCATTAATCCCATATTTTAGACTTAGACCATGGCACAGATGAGGTGTCGTCAAATCGGATCACAGGGTATGTCGTCTGAAGCTTCACACGGAAATCAATACTATTAATTGTACAATCCTATTGATGCCAACACACATGTATCACACCTAGAAATGTTATGTGTATATACTGTATGTGTATATATATATATTTACATTTAAATATACAATAGATGCAGTGTGTACTTAGATGTTGTTAACCATCCCATTTCAAAAGCAACCATGTTACAGCCCCACAGAGCATGAATCACTTCAATAAACCCGTTGAACACATCCACTTCCGACTGCTTGCAATCTAAGATGCTGTTCCCCAAGCAATGGGATAGTTCTATATAGTTCTGTATCCCTCCATATTCCGATGACAACCTGGGATTGTTACATCAAAACCCATGGGGGTTCAATGGATTTTCATAGGGTTTTCACAGGGTTTCAATGTGTTTTCATGGGTTTTCATTGGGTTTTCATACGGTTTTCATGGATTTTCATAGGGTTTCCATGGATTTTCAAAGGGTTTCATAGGTTTTGATGTTGAATCTAACTTGTGTGGTTTTGAGATCCCAAGCGACTTGACCACTTGGCGCCTGGCTCCCAGGGGGTCATTGCCCCGATTAATAGTTCTAAGAGGGGCCCAACAGCCATGGTCCTACAATGTCAACCCAAACGGCCAGTGTTGGCAGTCAGAACCGTATCGAAAAACTACAAGAAAACAACATTTTTACATATATATATATATATGTATTTATGCTTTTGATATGGTGTGAAGTTTCTTTAATACTTTTAGATTCACCCTTGCCCCTTCACCTGTCCTTTGTATGCCAATTCCTTTTGATCTCGCTCCTGTGCTACAGCATTCGAAACCATTTGTTATCGGATATGTTATCGCACCCAACATGGGTATCCTTTCAAAACCCACACTCTAAAGATGAGCTCCGAAGATGATCTTCAAACCCAGAAACCCAACCACCCTCCACAACAGTTGGTTTCTAACTTTGCTCCCTCCGAAAATGATCACGTCAGGCGCTGTCTTTCAACATATGAGATGTTTTTCCATCCAAAGATGTATCAAGATCAAGCAAATCCAACTTCCAAAAGATGGAATTCCATTTTTTGAACCATCCCCAACATTGAGCAGCCACAAAAAAGAATCAGAACCAGAAAACTTAAACAGAATCGATCAAACCTCAACAAAACATCAAAAGCTTGGAAAAATATCTCCATAAGACAGCTTCCATTTCGGAAAACTAAACTCCACAAAACTGGAAAATTTTCGTGCAAAACCCCCCCATCGTATTCCCATCGTCTTCCCATCGTTGCCATCGCCATGGCGTCGTTTCTGTCGGCGCTCTCCGAGCTGCACGACACGCTGGTGGCGTCCCTCAGCAGCTGCGGCCTGGGCCTCGATGGAGTCGAGGCCAAGCCGGAGCTGATGCGTGGCGCGGCGGAAGCGAAGTCACGGTGACTGGTGGTGGTTAGGATGGGTTAATGATATTGTAGTATAATAATGGTTAGTATAGTGGTTATTACTAATGGGATAATGGTTTGTAAATAATGGTTAGTGTTGGTCAATGTGATATTATGAGTGGTTGCATGTAGTTGCTAAAACGGTTACTATTGGTTAATATGGTGTTATTAGTGGTTAATGGATGATGATAATGATAATATGTTATATTGGTTAGTATTTATTCTTGGTTAATTAGTATGATGAATGATTTTACCAATGTGAATATTAAGCAATATTGTATTGTTAACCATTCTACCAATATCAACCATGTCTGGTTAATGGGTGATGATAATGGTTGATAGTGGAGAAGAATGATTGATATTTGCTCATACTTGCTTAATAAGCCCGAAGCCCCATAAATATTTATGGTTCACAATGGTAGATTCATGGTAGATCTGATATCACACGGTGGTTGAAGCAATATCAACTATTTTTTAACCACTGGCCAATGGTTGATAATAATTGTTAACAATGGATAAGTAATGGTTTATAATGGTTCATTGTGGTTAGTAATGTAATGTTGGTTCAAGTGCGGTTAATAATGTTGGTTCAAATACAATTACCGATTGGTTTTACAGAGGGTTATTCCAACAAATTTGTCCAACCATTGAAAATCATGGTTGATTGATGGCCGGTGGATAGCTGGTAATAATTCATGATAAGTGGTTAGTGACAACGGTTATGGTAATAACTGATAGATGTTAATAGTGTTTGGTGGTTTATTGTTCATGGTTGATGAATCTTGATTAATGTATGTGTATGCTGCATAATAGTACCCCCCCTAAATAAAATAATTTTGGGAAAAAGTCAGGGGGGGTCAGCATTCCAATAGTAAATTTTTGGAACCTTATGGCCTTATGGCTGGGATGGAGGCGAAGGAGGAGGACGAGGAGGAGGAGAAGAAGGAGAAGAAGGAGAAGGAGAAGGAGAAGGAGAAGGAGGACAACAAAATTGGAGTTGCGGAAAAAAGTTTCCACTATTGCCATGCCTGGTGCAGGTTTGTTATTGCTATTCTGGGGCTTGCAAAGGGGGTACTGGTACCCTTTGTGGACCTGTTTTCTTGCTTTTTTTTAGTAAGGGTTTTATAAGGAAATTGCTGTTTGGTAATTGGATCAGATTTCTGGAATCTAAGCTTTTGCTAATCAAAAGTGAAGGCTAATGGAGCTAATTGACTTTTAGTATTGGAGAAAAAATTGGAGTTGGGAAAAAAGTTTCCACTATTGCCATGTTGGGTCCACTATTGGCCATGCCCTCTGGACAAGGTCTGAACATGACTCTTTTGGCAATACTAAAAGTAAATGGAGCTAATTGACTTTTAGTATTGGAGAAAAATTGGAGCTGTGGAAAAATGTTTCTACTATTGACAAGATATCACTATTGGCTGGACGAAGTGGTGATATGTAATTGTGGTCAGTACAGGATATTGGTAAATAGAGGGCAAATTGCCATGAACCTTTTTCAATTTTCAATGCACGCTTTCAAGGATGTCGTTAAATATTCTATAAGGGGTTTAAACCATCAGTTAATTCTTTCTGTGTTGTTTTAACTATCAAGCATGTGGGGATGATAGATGATGTCTTGTGGAATAGTGGGAGTTTGCTGGGGATCGTCGTATCCCGTAATAGGGAGACCTACTTATCAATCCATAGAAGTGGCGATATTCCCATCTCACTGTGGTTTGCTGCAAGTGCCATAAATCTTAAATTTAAACTAACTTGGCCAATTATGTTTCAGGGGGTTGAAACACTATTCTGTGCTATGAAAATGATTCGTAAGCATGGTAGCAATGATTCCTCAAAGAGGAATATTCGTGTTGTGTGGGGTCACTTCATGGGGGGAATTAGGTTGGGATTTGTGAAAAGTGATAAGTCCTTTAAACAGACTACTTTCAACTTGTTGTACATATACATATATATATACATACATAAGATAAGGGGATGGGGAAGTGGGGACATTTCTGTATTAGTGAACTGGAGAATATGATTTCGATGTCCTATAGCAATAATTACTAAGCACTTGCTAGCTGTGATGGGCATGGATTCGGAAAGGATGGGGCTTGGCAGTGGAACACCAGAAATCACACCTCAAATGATCCTTATGGACTTTGGGAAATCATCTCTTTCAAGGGTCTTCAATCAGATTTACTACTCGCCAGGGTTGGGGGATGTTGGGGGCCAGAGGGTGTTGGTAACCTGGATATTGGGTTGATGATCATGAGACGGCATGATCTACAATCATGTTTATTAAGCACCTGATGACTAGCTGGGCTAGCGGGAATGGGGATGTAAGGGTTTTGGGGTAGCTTTCCCCGAAGAATTTGCATGTCCATGTCCGGCAGCGCTGCAGTGGCTGGTGAACAAAAACATTCGGGTCGCACAACAAGGCTGTCACCAACAAAGAGGAGTCTTTTGGATCGCTGAAGAACCTATTCTCGAGGAACTCGAACCGTTGACTCACAAGCTGTACAAAGAACGAGATCAAGTGGCCCAGGCGAGGGCGAACATCTGCCAGGCCGCATCCTGGGTTTGCTGAGTCGCTGAGTCTTGGCATTTTCGCAATGAAACTCTCTGGGAATCATTTTTTTCATGTTTTGGAGGTTCAAGTATCCAAGTATATATGTAAAACTTTATTGTTACATGTCAAGTCAGTGACTGAAAAATGGGATGGTTCTGGATCCAACTAAATGACGCAACCTTTTGTTCATGGGGTCAACAGCAAGTACTTGAATCTATCTGTGTTTTTTGATTTTTTTGTGTCATGTTCTGTGCGTAGCAGGATCTGTTTATAGTATATTGTTGGTAAGGGTTATCTAAGCATGGTATATCCCGTTCTATCACGTTAAATCCAGTTGTGTCCCCTTGCGGTTCGTTGTATCATGTTGTATCCTAAGCCTACATATTGTATCCCAACGATCTCCCATGTTCTTGCATCACCAACTCCGTTGTGGTTGCCCTATATAGTTTTTTTTTTTCCAATGGTTATCTTACTGGTGCTTAGTAGGGAATGAGGGAATGATCCATAATCACTAGTAATAATCATCCCAGCAACCCCCAGCAACCCATCCATTCCCTGCGTAAAACGCACCAGTAAGTTATCGCCCAAATGTCAACCAATTTTTCGATGCACGAGTTTCTCCCTTTGATTCCAGAAATCCCAACGACATTTCTCCCAGGATCTGTGGTCATGTTGCCATCTGCCGTTGCTGCCGTGCCTTTTCAGGAGTGACTCGGTAAGTTTTGTGGCCTTTCCTGGTGGGCAGGACCTTCGGAAACTTTGGGGATTAAGAACTTTCAACTTGGAAGTAACCTTGGATTGTATGTATCTATCTGCACATATATATTTATATATATGTATATATATATATATATATATGTGGATATGTATATAAATAAATATGTTATTATATATACATACATATTTATTTTTTTTTACGTATTTATTTATTTATGCTTAACCCCACATGCAGCCTGAAGAGTTGGGATTGTGGGTGAAAGTGTCTGGCCCCCAAGCCATGTCTCTGGTCCTTGCATGTGACTTATGTTGACCATCCATTTTGGGGTACCCCATTTTAGACGAGAGCAGATTTTCCTTTAAACCGATCCATTGAATATTATGTCTATCCGAAAAATCTCCAATGTTGATGGTTAAATCACTCCAATCCCATCCAATCCCTATGTTTTGATGCTTAAAAATGCTTCAACTACCGCTTTGATCTTTTTTGGATACTATTTCCGCCACCAGATCACCTGGTCGAATGCCACGTCTCTAGGTCCAGTGCTGCCGTGGTGCAGCAGGTGGAGATCGAATCGCGCCGCGGAGCACGGCAGGCGCGTTTGGAAAGCAGTGCGCAGTTCGGGCGGCGATTCATGGTTTGGATTGGATTGAGCCTTTTTTTCTGGGAAACTTTACCGTAGATCACATTTGGATATGTGATTTCATGTGATTTCGAAAACATCTTTCAGCAACAATAGATGGAATTTAAATGAATTTAACCGAAATTTTGTGGATGGGGACTTAATTGGAAATGTGGATTGAAGCAACCAAAATGATGATTTGAACTGGAAATGATGGTTTGGACTGGATTATTTAATATGTTTAACAATGTTTAACCTAATATGTTTAACATAATATGTTTAACATAATATGTTTAACATAATTTGTTTAACATAATATGTGTAACATAATGGGAACATGGATACATCACCAGCAAGTTTTGCGTTTCCGTATTGAAATGGAATGTCAGTGATAAGGATTTGACCCAGACATCATGTTTCGATGTGGATTGTTTGACTAGAAAGTTGGGGTATATCACATCTTCAACCAACAATGCGCATAGTTTAACCCACACAAATGCGGGTGTGGACCAATCTGGTTCAGTGTTTTTTTTGTCATACAGTATGGGGATCCTGATGAACCAATCAGTAGTTGCGGCACAGATCCAGTGACAGGTTCCGGGAAATTCTTCACCAATGGGCCATATGGGGCCTTTCAAATTGTATTAAGTGCGGTGCGAGTCATCCAACGTCCTCATTTGAGGATCCCAACACATACTCCTTGGCCGTAGCCATTGTTTGGACACTTGTGAGCACACCAAAGACAGGCAACAGTTGTGTTTTTTCTATAGCCACTTTAAAGGGTGTCATTTGATGATATTTGATGAATATTCTGTACATCATCCCTTGATTGATACCGAACAAACCACCATTTGGGGATTGTATCACACCTCTTTCCAACAATTAAGCATAGGGAATCTACATGAATCTACGGTGTGGACCAAAAAAAAGCACGATGACATACCATGGCCACAAGATTCTGTTCTGTGATCGCCCTCTCCCTTAGCATCGCTGCCAGCTCTATAGGTCTTGCTACCGATATTTCATTCCCATTGGTTTGAAGAAAAACTTGTACTAAAGGGGGTAAAGACCATAGTTTCTTCAGATTCTCCCTTAAATCCGTCGTTTCATGAAATTTTTCCATGACTTTTTTTGGTTGCTTCACCTTGGCCCACACGGCCACAAGCCGCAAGCCGCGCACGTGGCACGGGCCCGGCATTTTCACCCGAGCCGAGGCGGCGCCCCCTGAGGGACTGCAATTGTTCTTCCCAGGCGGGGGTTGGGAACTGAAAGGGTCCGTCACTCCTGTCCCCCCAAAAAAACTGCTTGGTGGGTTGAAACATGGCTTTATGACTTTCCATATATTGGGAACAATCATCCCAACTGACGAGCATATTTTTCAGAGGGGTATGTCAACCACCAACCAGTAAAACCTCTGAAGCTGGCCAAAATAATGACAGTTGTTCGGCTTTTGATCAGCGGAAAGGCTGAATCTGTAGGGATTCTCCACTGCTCCGTTGAGTTTGGGAACGATGAGAGCCATGTTGCTGTTGGGCTTTTCATCAACTTTCGTGGAACGGCCCACGTAACGTAGCAAAATGTAGCAAACCAAAACTTGCCAGCCCAGCGCCTTCATGTGATTTGCAGTACTTCTGTAGTAAGTTCATGTGAGCAGATCATGGATAATTTCAATTATTATTAAATTAATGATAATATTATCCAGTATAATTATCCCAAAATTCAGGTTAATGGAGAGTAACTACCAAAGATTGACCGTGGCCCATTGATTTAGGTTCATGTTCCCATTGATTCAATCGCAGAGACTCAGCGGCGTTTTGCCGGGTTGATTGGTTTGTTTTTTAGGTGGTGCAACCCGGTGACTGGCAAGGTTGTATAGTTGGGGGAAGTGCCTTCCCAAAACGATGAATTTGCGGGGTACCCTATGTTCAGACAAAGCAATTTGAAGAAACATTGCAATGTTGGCAATTCAAACTGTTCCCATCCATTACCAGAACTGAATCACTATGTTGCCCGAGAGGCATGTTCTATTCTCGTGGCAGCTGGAGTACAAAGCCTTGCATCACTCATGCTGTGTTCGCTTCCGGTATCCAGTTCACGACCACGAAGCAATTTGGTGCCAGAACGCACGAATGCACATTGCCAAGAACATGGAGGAGTTAATGCCTTTAATGGAACATGCTCAAGGGAATGTTGATTTGCATTCGCTAAAATATGGGTGTCCCACACTAGAGGAAACTACTTGATAGATGTTCGCTCATTGTCCTGATGAACATAGGGTATATATCCTAAAATCATAATTTTCCCCATGAGCACTGCCATTTTGAGTATCCCTTTACCCAGCAAATTATAGTATGATGATTTTAAGCATCCCCCTTTCTTGGTAAAAAAACAGATGCTGACCAGTGCAGGTTTCAAGTGGGAAACTGCTTTGGTGAAGTTGTCCTGTGCCGAACTGGCGGTTTACTGCTTCGAGCATTTGCTCAGTGCAGGCCCGTGGGCCCGTGGCAACGGTGGGGGCTGACCGTGCAAGCTATTTACCATGGTTTTGATTCACAATGATATTGAGAAAGCATAGCAATGGATGAATTCCACATCACTTTTCTATATATACATATAACATATAAATAGTAGATCTGTGTAAATCAAGGAATTAGGGGTCAAATATTTGGGGACACATATGTCAAACCGCGTGGAAGGGCTTCGGGGAACCATGGTTCCACTCTGGAATCTTTACGTCGGAACACACTCACGGAGAGTCCTCAAGTCATGGAAAGAGCAAGGTTTCTGAGTGAAATCCCAACTGTCTCCAGCAATAGCAGGGAGGCGTTGATCCATAATGTACAGGGATTGGAATAGAACACAGACAAATTGGGCATGGGGCACCAAGGAACTCACAATTGGCTAGTTTTTTTGGGTACCAAAAGCAGCAGTGTATATACTACGACCTACCATTTCTTTAAGTCAATAATTCTGAAACATATCTGAGGTGTATTGCCGCAATATCCCAGGATAGCATTTACCAGCAAAGTCCCAAGTTTCATTGGTGAACTATCCCCATGTTTAGTTGACAGATATCCCAATCTTTATTGAGCTATTTGTTGATGATAAGTTGGGTAGAGCCCATGTCCAAGTGGACCAACCAACCCATTTGCGTTGTATTTTATTCAAGAACGTTTAGGAGGGTCGAGTCCCAATTTTGTTTCTTGAATCCTGATGGTTAAACAAACCTCCATGGTTTATGGCAGTTTATGGTTACATCAACATGTTTCATGGTGCCATCATCATCTTTCATGCTTATATTCCCATGTTTGATTGTTGTACATATACATGTTTGATGGTTTCTTTGGTTATATCCTCATGTTTGATGGTTGTATCCAATTTGTTGGTGCGAACATATCATGATTGAATCATGATATTTCCCTTTTTCCATGGTATTTCACGGTATTTCATGCTTATGTTTGATGGTTATGTCATAAGTTATCTCTTCATGTTTGATGGTTACCTCCGTTGCCTCGCAATTTTTGTGAAATCACCAGCAGCAGCGCCAGGCACTCCCACGGTGTGCACCTTAGTGCAACTGGGCGCCAGTTGGGCCCCGGCCATCTGTAGTGGCCACGTTTGGCGCCTTGTGGCAGCTCGCAGGAAATGGGAGAGTCACCACAAAAGACCTGGATTTCATAGGAAATCATGGGGATTATAATGGGATTTAATAGGGATTATAATGGGCTAATAATGGGCTTTCATGAAATTATTTAAAATGTAGGAACAACTACTATCAATGGAGGTTTCTAGCTGGGAAAATCAAGTCTCTTGGATGTGCTGTATATTCCTGTATGGGGGTTGGTCAAAACCTATTCTTACCATATGACTTGGGGGGAAAAAACACCCAGTAACCAGATTTTTGGAGTACCTAGGGCACCAGGCTTTTGACTTTATTTTCCCATATTTTCCCAATGGGAAATCCACTACTGCTGGAATCTCTAAAGAAGATTTGAATGATTTGTTTGGTCGCTAAGCAGCTTTCCAAGAATATGAGCATTTTTGGGGGAAATGGTTAAAATAATCATGGATGAAGCCGAAGCAGCAATTTATCATGGTATAGAATTGGATTTGATGGGATTTATGGGATATTCTGCCCTATGGATCCAAATAGATCCAAATAGTTTCTCAGGAAGTATGGTTAGGGTCTGATGGTATTGGGTTTCGCCGTACTTTCTCAGTGTTTGGATGAGGGTGAGATAACCAACAATATGATTGATATTGGAGTTGACCCTCAAGATTACTTCACCAAGAATGGCGGGCATAAGGGATTAAATAGGGATGTAATAGGGATATCATTGAACACAATTATGGTCTGGATATTAACCACGAAATATGGCTACATTTCATCGCGATACATCATGGGGGCGATAATCATAGGGGATAGTGACCACCAATTGATGATGGCATTTTATTCAATGGTGTATACAAATAGTTAAGCTACAATCTGATTGATATGGGTGTGTATGAAAACTGGATTTCCAAAATACAACCATCTTAATAGGGAAAATGAACGAAAATGATGATTAACCCGTGGATGGAAAAGGGTTATCCCATAATTATGAGAGAAACCCAGCTGGTGTGCCTTGGGAGAAATGGTTGGGAAAATGTCCAACGTGGTCAATACCCTGGCCCCAATCGGGGGTCGGTGGATGACACGTAGCGTATACTCAGTCTATCAGGATAGTAATAGTATGATAATTATGAGGGCAGTGTATAGGTAGTGTATCAATAGGATATGACTAGTATAAAGTTTATCACGGTTGGCAGGGATAGACAGGGTATCAGGAGCATATAGGTACACTATATAGTAACGCTAGGGCAATAACATACTACATCAGTAGTACAGAGACTGTTTGAATGTTCAAAGTATTTTACAGGTTTGTGATATGTAGTGAATAAACAATTAGTATGTAAGTAATACATAGGTAATACATAGGTAGTACATAGGTAGTACATAGGTAGTACATAGGTGCTACTTAGGTCTATATATGTAGTACGTACGTAGAAGATCGTGAACTAGAATTGCAAAACACGTAGAAATAGAAACCTAGATTTCCATCTTCGGATGGTTCCATCATTTTCCATTATATTTTATTACTTTGATCCACTCGAAAAGGTTCCATTATGTTTGGTTAAGGTTGCATTTCCATTACATCCCAATTATATCCCCATGATGTACCTGTATTCCTTAGTACTTATCCTATCAAGTTGGCGACATGATCTGGTTGGTGGTTTCAAACATGTTTTTCCATAATATATGGGATAATCCTTCCCATTGACTTTTATATACACGTATTATGCCTACATTGCCATGATATCCCCCATGATATCCCCATGGGGGCAGCCCATTGGATTCGGTGCCGCCCTTAGGTCCCCATTTTCCTTCATGGCAACCTGGGCCATGTTCTCACCAACGTGTGCCGTGGTGAAAGCAGCTGTTAAACTCTGGATTCATGTCACTCATCAAACATATTGTTGGGGTACCCTGTGGTTATTTAACATAGCCATGGAACACCTTTATAAACGGAGGTTGATAGCTGGGAAAATCATCTATAAAAAGGCCATGTTCCATAGCTATGTTAAATAACCAGAGGGTATGTATTAAAAATGAATGGAACATAGGTTTTAGATGATTTTAGATCGGCTCGGTTTCAGGTTGAACAAGGGTTCAGATTGGAATATGCAAAACACATCGGCATGTTGATCCTACGGCTGCCATTCTAGGTTTGGAAGGTTTATGTATGTGTTTGATTGTGTTTGTTTCTTGATGAATCGGAAAGTTGATAACGAACTAAGAATTAGATGTTTTGCCGAGGTGTCTAAGACTAGCCATACGTCCCCGGAAGGAAATTTATCTGTATATAAGTGTAATGTAGCCAGGTGATTGCAACGCGATTTGTTTTCATAAGTCGAGCTTTCAGCAATGAGATTCTTTGATATTCTATAGGTATGGTTTCAGCGTTTGGCTCACTACTGGGTAACCCAAATTGGGGGTGGGCATCTTAACCCCAACGCTGTGCCCAACACTCAATGAGATGAGACCTTCAGAAAATTGGCCGGTTGCAACCCCTTGTTACTACTCATGGATAACGGTTGCCTGCAGCTATCCAGTGCCTGAGGTTGTTCCAGATGCGCTTGGGCTTCAAGGTGGAAGAATCCTTGGGAAGATGGAGTTTCTTGGATGCGCTTGGGCCCTGCTGCTTGAAGTTGGTGTTTAAAAAAAACACCATCCATGAGATGTGTGGAGATATGTCATTACATGATATCAAATGGTTAAATGTGTATGTATATACTGTATGACATGCAATACCAGTCCCAGTCCATACAGATAACGTGCATGTTGGGGATCCCGAGACTCCCTACCGGCTGGTTGGATGGCCCACAAAATTCCCGGGCGAAGTTCCCTTTGTTCGTTGGTTACGGTGAGGGACCTAATTGATGCAAGAACTGACGGCACTGTTCATGTTATTTGGGCCAGATTTGGAAGTTATATAGTCTGACATGTACCTCGCATTACAAGAATGCATGAAGGTAAAACAATGTGTGATAGCCCAAGAGTTGGGTCTCGCTCCAGCAAGTCCTCTGCATAGGTCCGATGTCCCTAACTTGACGAAATCAATGCCTTCGCCAGAAGGAACCCCTGAACGATGGGTTTTTGCTGTTTTATCACTGGGTTCAATGCGTTATAGTGGATATACCTGCAGCATTCTACAGTTGGATTAGCTTTAACCAACTTATAATTTGGGGAGCAATTCCTTGATCCCTAACTGTTGAATCTATGCTGGATGTATCATGCCATATCTAGAATTCAATGGGTTTTCTTTTTGAATCGAAAGCAAATTCTGGTCGAATCAGCTGGCCATCTCTCAGGTTTCGTATCGCTCTACTTGCTGAGTGGCACCTTCGGGACCGGCCCAGGGGTAATGCTGGACGTGTTGGGGGCCCGCTCTGGCTATTACTTGGGGGTGCAGGTCAAGGCTTATTGAGAAGTAGAACGGCGTGTGTACATATATGATATATATATATATATATATGTATATGTGTGTGTATAATATATATATATATAACGGAGGGGGTGGGTACTTAACCAGTCTGTGGGGGGGGTTAACCCCCAGCCCTGTATAACTATGCTAATAACCTCCATGAGTTGGAATATATGCCCTAAAACTATGGTGAAATAGGAACTGCGATCCCAAGTAGCAACAAGCGAAGCAGGGTGGTCAATAGATGGGTACTGGACATTAGTGGATGCTATTCTTTCCGACGCTTTCGCCCAGGGTGCTATGATTTGATAGTTTATCCAGACCATTTCTTGGGTCGTGCAAGTGTCTAAATCCTTAGGTTAGTGCCAAACAATCTAAGCATGCTAAATAATCTAAAAGATTCGATTAGTCCTAAACAATGTAAACATGCTAAATAACCAAAGAGATTTGATTAACCCTACGCAATCCAAATATTGAGATAAATCTAACAATCTACTGCAAATAGTCTAGATAACGAACTTGGGAACACTGCAAAAGTCAGAGTTTCGTGCTTACATTGAGATTTGACCTCACTATTTTTGGTTAGTCTCATCCATTTTTTTAAACAGGAGAGGTAGCTAAAGGTCGAGCTCTGCTATCTGTAGTTTAGGGAGATTTACCATTTACTAACCATATTTCTTTCAGGACTGCCACTTACTTGGTGGTTCACCCCCACTTAGTAAGTAGGCTATACCCCTGGTTATAACTGGGCTAAGTAGGGTTAGTTCACTGAAAAAACTGGGGTTATAATCCACTTACTAACTTGGATGAGCCACCAAGTACCTTTTTGCGCCTCATGACTGCCAGGAACTTGGTATCTGCGGCCCTGCAGCCGGCGAAAGTGGCCGTTGGGGCATCCACCAGTCCCTCGGCAGCGGGCACGGTGGCAAGACATCGCGGAGAGTCGTAAGATGGTGGGGTGACAGGGTCTTTGAACATGACACACACACATATATATATATATACCATATATATATAATATATATATACATAAATTAGGTAAATTTACTTATGTATCGATTTACTTTAACTTATGAAATTTGAACAATGACTTGAAGGATTGGTATGTTGGTGTATGAAATGGTTCCTGAGGAAAGGGGGGTTGGCCAATGGGTTTTGTACAGCATTATATAAATGCAAAAACAAATACAGCAATAATCAAAAATATGCCGATCATTTGTTCACATTACATACAGTTAAAGTTGTCATACATACAATACCTAAATATGTTCGAAATATTATTTGTCATCATATAAAGTTCATTGTTTTTTACAAAACATGAAGTACATGTGGATGATGTATTTACATTACGTATCTATACATTGTATGGCTTTTTGACAATGGAGAACAGGACGGGTCAGTTTTGCAAAGCTCTGGCAGCCTTGTCGGATTTGGTGCAAGTGGTGACGGCACAGATGCACAAAGCCAACGCGTCGGGCTTGGAGATCGACTTGCGCACCAACTTCTAATATATATATATAGCATATATATATATATTCCATACATATATATATAACATATATATGTATGTATATAACATATATATATATACACCCAAAAAATGTGTTTCACCAAATGCCTGGTTTATTTTCACGACATGTTGGAGTGCAGGGTCAAGGTATGGATGATATGTTCATAGCTGAGAAGATGTGGCCTGATACGTCAACAGTTGGAAGTTTCACCGTTGTGGGTAAATTCTACTGAGCTCATTGGACGGGGTCAATGTGAATGCTGGTTAGGATTCAGGGAATCAAAAGAATTTCTTTATTTACACATGGTTTTACACATTGTCAGTATGACCAGCTACATTTTTTAAAAACTAGTGTCCGTTAGTCATAGTTCTACCTGTCACAAGTATATATTTCTGGCTGAATTATCCCGACCTCATTGTGAAGTCCCATGAAATGGCTAGGACCCGGCTAGGATTCGGGGAGTTATCACCCTTCAAGGCCTTGCTTGTTTAGCTTGTTGGGTTGGTGAATTCGTCTACCTTACCCAAATTTACAGTCATAAAAATTTACCTAGAGATATCACAAGCAAATGATTGTTAGATAACATTTCACCATTTGACACTACCTAAAATACTTATCAATGTATATTCGTGTGACCTAAAATACTTAGCCATGGCATTAATATACTTACCATGGCAGATACTTACCTAAAATATCCATGGCATTTGTTGATGTATAAATATAATTTTCTACTGGGCAAATTATATAGATAGCTAGCTAGCTAGCTAGGTAGGTAGGTAGGTAGGTAGATAGATAGACAGACAGACAGACAGATAGATAGATAGATAGGTAGATAGATAGGTACATAGATAGATAGATAGATAGATAGATAGATAGATAGTTAGATAGATAGATAGATAGACAGACAGATAGATAGATTGATTAGATTAGGTTAGATTAGATTAGATAAGATAAGATAAGATGGATAGAAAGATAAGATAAGATAGATAGATAGATAGATTAGGTTAGATTAGATTAGATTGGATTAGATTAGATTAGATAGATAGAAAGATAAGATAAGATTAGGTTAGATAAGATAAGATAAGATAGATAGACAGATAAGATAAGATAAGATAAGGTAAGATAAGATTGATAGATAGACAGATAGCTAGCTAGATAGATAGATTTCACCCAGGTATCATGAACCCTCCTCTTATGTAGGCCGCCAGCGGCCCTTGAGGTGCCATGGGCGTTTTGGGCGCCACGGTGGTGCGGCTGCTTTGCGAGGAGCAGGGCCCTGAAAAGCAGGCCATGCTGATCTCGTCGTTGCCTGGTGGTGAGTCGGTGGTGGGGGTCAGTGGATGAAGGCAAAAATCACAAAATCCATGGCCATTTCAGGATCCTAAATGGGAGATACCTACCATATATAAGGCTTATGTAAGGCCTATGTAAGGGAATATCCCCACAAAATATGGCCTTATATGGTACTGTACCTCCATTTTAGGATCCTGAATTCCCATTGACAAAACCCATGGTTTTATGGGGTTCATGATGAAACTTGATGGCTCTATGGGTATATGGTATTCAATGACAATTATGATGAATGGTGTTTTTTTTGGTCAGAAAAAATGGATGAATAATTTGGTATTCGCCATAAAGATTAGGACTAAACGGTTGGTCTGAGAACATACCTAAGGAAACTGCCAGGCCCTGGACCATCGTATTTCAATACAGACAAATGATGGGCTAGATCCAAGATTGTTGTAATATTATATGGTTATTTTCGGTTCTCAAGGTCCGTACTTCCCATCAATGTCACTGCAATACATGTCTATCATTACTGGTAAATCTAGACTAGAAGGTGGGCCCCCGTGGCATTTATAACTCAAATAACAGTTGTCTTTTAATTACATAACCAAAGCAAATAGAAGTTGCAAACTAACTCATAACTGGGAGGCCTCAGCTTGCACAATGATACGTTCCCATCATTCCCGTTTCTCGGTTGGCCCGCCGTGTCCGTTTCTTTTGAGGTTCCTCATCCTGGTATTCATTAACTTGTCGCCACACGCAGCACCTGAACAAAATGGGAACAGATGTGCTGAAGCGTTGGGATTGGGGAAAACTCACCTGGAACCTGCAAAAATGATATGTGATGCAACCTTTCAAAATTGTCTTTGGAACGGTTTCGAAGATGATTCTTGGGACTTGGAGAGTGCTAGATTTTGGTTAGCAGATGGCAGTTCCTCAGGCCTGGATCAGAAATAATATGCCGAACCTTTGAACGACCAGATATTTTTTTGCGACAAAGACAAGCAACAAACATCTATGGATACAAAAGATGATGATGAGCTGCTCATCAGCGGAATTTTACCCTTTTTTCCCCACTTGCCAGGTGAAGGTCTCTGGATTTTATCACAGCTGCATCTTGCTTCGACCCCGGGTTTCAGATTTTGGTGGGCACTGCCGGACCTCAGCCGCGAGCGCCAGATGTCAGATAGAATGCATCAAAGAATGCCAGATAGAATGATTGAATATATGACAGATAGGATGCCAAATAGAATGTTTGAATATATGTCCGATAGGATGCCAAATAGAATGTTTGAATATATGTCCGATAGGATACCAAATAGAATGTTTGAATATATGTCCGATAGGATGCCAAATAGAATGTTTGAATATATGTCCGATAGGATGCCAAATAGAATGTTTGAATATATGTCCGATAGGATGCCAAGTAGAATGTCAGAATATGTGTCAGATAGAATAGCAGTTGGTGGGGATCATTCCAAGACAGTACCATTGTTTTTTTTCGGTGGTTGCGGTGTGAATTTCCATGGAAGGCCTGGGTGAGATGCAGACCCAGATCGACATTAGATTGCTTGATGGTGAGGTACTGCTAATCTTTTTCAGCCATGAAGGGGAAAATGGACTCACAAACTGAGTTTTTTTTGCAGGCTATTGGTCATTAGACATGTGATTGGCTTCCGTTTGTCGAAAATGGGTCCGCAACATCGACATTGTGATTGAAGATAGATATGACAATTTTTGCAAGTACCTAACCCATTGTTGTTGCCTGTCCCCCTGTTTTTCGCCACATATGCAGCAATGTGTTCGCTATTCACTTGTGAACCGTGCATTTCTTGGCTAAAACACTTTCAGCCTTTATTGATTCTTGTTGGTCAGTTCTCTCTCTTTAGTGTTGGTGAATTCCCTGCAGTTATGGCCATTTATCAGTTATAAGTAATTACTTATAATTCCATTTATAGAATGTATATATAATCCCATTTATAACCAGTTACAACTGGTAAATGCCCATAACTGTGGTTTACGTGAGATGTATAACACCTGTTGATTAAGTCTGCATTGCTGGTGGATTTCCCATTCTTGCTCGGCTTTACTGTAACTTCCTTGGCACACTTTGATGTGCATTCCATGTGGTGCGTTCTTGGTGGAGTGCAGTATATTATAGCTGGTTGGTGGTTTGGAACATGTTTTTTCCCCATATATTGGGAATAGTAAACCCAACTGACTCATATTTTTCAGAGGGGTTGAAACCACCAACCAGATAGAGTGCGGGATTGTGGATATCGGACAGTTTTGGTGCTTAATACTAGGATGGAACCCCATGGTGCAAGATTTTGTGCTTCATACTAAGGGATGTGGAAGATTTTGTGCTTAGATACACCCATTTAAAGACCATAGGGTTCCATCCCTTAGTACTGTGCAAGATTTTGTGCTTAATACGGGATGGAACCCCTATGGTCTTTGAATGGGTGTATCTAAGCATTGAGATATCCCCAGAAAAAATAATCAACCAGCGGAATCGTTGATTCTCGTTCGGAAGCCAGACCTGCCAGTCCCGGCCTCAAGGACCTTTTTGGGCATTTGGGCGGATTCCTGAGCGGAGTGCCTTGGGAATTCTGTGGTGATTCGTGGTGTGCTTGGGGATGACCATGACCCCATGAGCTGGAACTGAACTATGAAGTGAAGCGTGAACAAAGGTGCATGTTTTCTATGAGATCTTACATGGGGCTTAACTATCACACTTTTGGGGATTGAGTTCGGGTCCCAACTATCAAGGGTTTGGATAGTATAGACACATGATGGGTGATTAGTTATGATAGTTCACGTTGCCACTACCAGTAGGTGCTGCGGTGTTGCATTGTCTGCATGAGTGACCTGTGATCAGACCGCACCACCTGGTTATTGACCCATTTTGGAACCCCTATTGACAGAGAGTTTTGAACACTACATAAGCGGGTATCTAGCTTGTAACGCAGAAGCTTTAACCAGCACACATGAGGATTTAAGATTGAAGCAACAAAAACAAACGTATTTGGTCTTGACACACTGGGAGGGTTATACGAATGTAAACGGGGAGATGGTGGCTCTAATTCAATCTATAGAGACCCTGCTTCAACAAACCAGAGTGGGATCTTGATGCTTTTTGAACAGGCAATGATGGAGAAATATGATATTCCCCTGGAGATCATTGTTTTGGGACATCGTTTTCTGTCTCCAGCCCGGCTGGAGCGCCTTAGTGATTTATTGCACCGTTTTTTGGGCCATTGTTCGATGTTTACAGGAGTTTATGTCACCCTGATACGCACAATATTATACGTTCTTCTATTGATGCAGCCTATCATGAATCATGAAATTTTGGCGCGCGGGAAGAAGTTGCCACTGTTCCTTGGGTAAAGCGTGACCTGACACATCTCCTAGCCTGGAAAGATTAGACATGGCGCTGATGCAGGGCATGCAGTTCAACCCATCTTGGTATTTGTGGATGTTAGGATTTGGGTACCTATCTCAAGTCATGGCCTCAATTCAGACTAACCAGAGAAGTAATGTACAGTAGCTTAGGCTACAGCTGCCATAACTAGGGTCGAGGAGTCGAGGAGCAAACACAGGAATTAATGGCAAGGGTGCCGTTAAGGGGATTAAGTTCAGATCCGAAGTGCAGCAAACATCTTTCAGACCCCAGTTTTGGCCACCATGTTCAGCTCAATGGGTGTTCCCGTGTTGATTTAACGCGCTGAGGTCTGCTTGTCACTGTGCCTGAAGCCCAGCAGCAGCAACAGCCTTCGCTTCTCGGCAGACCACCATTAGCATTGGGAGATGATCGTAATGCAACAAGATTTGACAGTCCTGCTTAGTAAACCAGCATGGAGGATATAGATGGATAGTCATGGATAGTCATGGATTGAATGGAATCTAGTAGTGAATTCAACGTCAGAATCTAGTGGAATCAGCGTCAGGGATCAGCATCGATCAGAATCCCTGAGTCAAGTCTCGTGGATCTCGCAGGCAAACTGCATCGTCGGGATTATTTTTTTTAAAATCCAGATAACAGTTCGTAGCCCGAGGCGTTAATTTCTACTATATGCTTAGAGGCATCCGTATCTCTTTGTTCATTGTCTTTCCCGTTCGCCAGGTGTTAATTTCCCCAACCCAGCCCCGCGCCGTTAAAGCGCCACAGCTTCTAGATTGCTGCAACAGCAACAACAACAATAATAACAACAACAACAAGAACAAGAACAAGAACAAGAACAAGAACGACAACCGCAACCGGTTTATTATTGCGATGTCCACATTCAGCGAACACCCTGACGCAGCCCGCAAGAATCTAAGGTTTTTGGAGCGTTGTGCCGATGCTGGCAGCAGGTGTGGCGGGTCGGTAACTACCCTAAAGAATCCATCAGATGATCACTGCATTCCCCAGTATACATCCCTTTAAAGTGACCATTTATGGCTCTGTTCTCGAAAACCGTCCATAAATATATATATATATATAGATAGATAGATAGATAGATATACATACAAATATACATATAAATTATTTACAGATATGCATGTAAAAGAAACACACATATATATATATATATATTGTGTATATGGGTATTCCTGCAATGTGGCCCACTGCTACTTGCGGGATGTACCCCGAGTTCGTGGGTTCCTTTACTGAGTGTTGATGAGTATTTGCCATTGGTTTCAGGATGCATGTAAATATCTCAAGGACGGAGACGTGTCACATCTACAGATTCCATATCAAAGTCAGTGTTTTCCTACAAAACAACCAAATCAGGTGCCCATAAGTGGGTTCAACTACTGTATCTTGTACCCCAGACATACATCCCCAGTTGTAAATAGCTGTGTTTGGAGATAAAGTATACCAAAAAAATGCAATTCTACTGGGAGAATGAGAATTGTTGCCATGATTTCTCTTTTGGCTTTTCCCAAGATCTTCAAACAAATTGAGATGAGATACCCTCTGGTAATTTAACATAGCTATTGAAAATTGCCAGTGAAATAGTGAGTTTGCTCATTAAAAATGGTGATTTTCCATAGCTATGTAAACGTTTACCAGACGGTATATCACTATTTTGTCATTGGGAAACATTGACAGTTTCATCCAGTAAAATCATGGAACAACCGGTGACATTGAACCGGTCACAGGGAGCTCGGGAGCCTCCACGTTAAAGGTGCAACGGTGCAACCGCCTTCAGCTATAGGTATATCATGGTATATCCACGCATATCCATGAAAAAACTCCCAACTAGTGAAACAAACCAACTAAACACTTAGCTATCATAACTTGACCATACAATTCCCCATTTTTTGTTGGCTCGGTCCCCAAGTTCCAATATCTTTGGTGGCACCGTTTCCTGCTCGCCGCAGGCGGCATCTGCGGCTACGAGTTGAGCGTGGCTCCACATGCAGCGCAGATGGCGGAGATCGCCCAGTGCCCAGCGCTGTGGCCGGGCGTCTCCTAGTGGTCGCTTGGAGATGGACATGTTTTTTTTGCGACTGGATGTGGTGTAGGGATGTTTCTTATTGGCCAAGCGTTGGAATTATTTGGGAAATACAGTAAGTCAAATTAACTGAAATCCATCGGAAAATAGCCGGGGCTAAACAGTTGGATAGGGAATGTGAAATGCCAAAGAACCGGACAAATAATCGGAAAGCTGAAAGGAATGGACATGTTGCATATGTTGCGATACCAACAATAAGTATCCATTGCTGGAGGAAGCTGTGGTTGTGCCCTATTCCCTTTGATATAGGAAGCCAAGGAGCCACTATAGGAGTTCCCAACAGCAAGATAGATAGACACATGGAAACTAAGTTAAAATATTGGAACATGGCAGTAAGTCACCAGAAGACCAACTCGATTTGTAGACTAGTCTAGTATATAGGACACAGCTTGCGCTAAAAATGGAACGAATTATGCGTGTATACGCAAACATACATGCATGCAAACATACATAGATACATCGATACATGGATAGATAGATAGATAGATCGATAGATAGATTAGATTAGATTAGATAAGATAAGAAAAGATGATATAAGATATATAGATAATAGATAGATAGATGGATTAGATGGATTAGATAGATTAGATGGATTAGATTAGATTAGATAGATTAGATAGATTAGATAGATTAGATAGATTAGATAGATTAGATAGATTAGATAGATTAGATAGATTAGATAGATTAGATAGATTAGATAGATTAGATAGATTAGATAGATTAGATAGATTAGATAGCTTAGATAGATTAGATAGCTTAGATACAATAGATAGATTAGATAGATAGATAGATAGATAGATAGATAGGTAGGTAGGTAGATAGATAGATAGATAGACACATACATACATATAGACACACATACATACATACATACATGCATACATACATAGATACATAGATACATAGATACATAGATACATACATACATACCTACATACATACATACATACATACATACATAGATACAGACACATACAGACACATACAGACACATACAGACACATACAGACACATACAGACACATACAGACACATACAGACACATACAGACACATACAGACACATACAGACACATACAGACACATACAGACACATACAGACACATACAGACACATACAGACACATACAGACACATACAGACACATACAGACACATACAGACACAGACACATAGACACATACAGACACATACAGACACATACAGACACATACAGACACATACAGACACATACAGACACATACAGACACATACAGACACATACAGACACATACAGACACATACAGACACATACAGACACATACAGACACATACAGACACATACAGGCTTACATACAGACTTACATACATACATACTTACGTACATACATACATACACACACATACATACATACACATACATACACATACATACATACATACATACATACATACATACACACACACACATACATACACACACACACAGAGACAGAGACAGAGACAGAGACAGAGACAGAGACAGACAGCCAGCCAGCCAGACAGACAGACAGAGAGAGACAGGCAGACAGGCAGGCAGGCAGGCAGACAGAAAGACAGACATACATACATACATACGTACACACATAATATGCATATATGTATATATATATACATACATGCATCCAAACATACATACACAAACACACACATACATACATACGTACGTACGTACGTACGTCCGTACATACATACATGCATGCATACATACATACATACATACGGACAGACGGGCAGACCGACATACCGACATACATACGTACATAGATGCATACATAGATGCATACAGGCATGCATGCAAAAATATACACACACATACAATCATTCAATCATACATACCTGGTTGATGGTTTGGAATATTTTTTAGTTTTCCATAGATTGGGAATAATCATCCCAACTGACTAATATTTTCAGAAATGGTGGAAACCACCAACCAAATACATACGTGCATACATGGATACATGCATACATGCATACATACATGCATGCATGCAGACAGCCAGCCAGCCAGACAGGCAGGCAGACAGACAGACATACATATATACGGACATACGGACATACATACGTACATAGATGCATACATAGATGCATACAGGCATGCATGCAGAAATATACACACACATACAATCATTCAAACATACATACCTGGTTGGTGGTTTGGAATATTTTTAGTTTTCCATAGATTGGGAATAATCATCCCAACTGACTAATATTTTCAGAAATGGTGGGAACCACCAACCAGATACATACACGCATACATGGATACATGCATACATGCATACTTGCATGCATGCATGCAGACAGACAGACAGACATACATACATACATCACACACATATCATTGTTCTTTAGTGTTTTTTGTTGTTTTGTTTGTTGATATTACTTGGAAGTTTTGCGAACCATGTATAAGTCGTTTGGCTTTGTTTAATGATATCTAAGATCGTGAATGCGGGGATGGGGATTGGCCAACATGATTGGACCTCACTAAAAGTTGATGTTTTCATGGGGATTGCAGCAATAAAATGGGATGTTTGGCCTGGAACAAATTGGGAAGTACCACCAAGAACATCAGATGATGGTTTGTAGATGTTGGTAGGGGGTATTACCCTCTGGCAATTGAACAATTTGCCTGTGGTAAAAATGATCATTTAGTTTGCTGATTTACTAAGTAAAGATGGTGTAAATTGCCAGAGGGTATCCCATTCTTTGCCCAGGTCAAAGTGCATCAAAATGAGCGCAACCTTAAACATGGAATGGTTGAATGATTTGAATGCTCAACATGACTGAAATTGTGAACCAGAAAAAAATGTGTTTTGTTGAGCTATATCTGTATGAACTTAACGTCGTTTAACCCACAAAGATGTGCTTTGGAGTTCACAAAAATGATCAATTGTCACGCCAAGAACTGGCCTGGGTATGGCATTACATGAATTATATATTCCAAAATTGGAATAAATTGTATAGTCAAAAGATGTTCAAAGGCAAAAATGGCAACATGTCCAGCGTCACGGGGTGGCTCGCTGTGTTTCAGCCATAAAGGGGTGTCCATAAAGTGTATGTGTTCTTCCCTGGGTGCAAGGCAGGGTTTTAAAGAGCAACAACAGAGTTTTCTTGGATATGGGCATGGGTCCGTCCATGTTAAGCACTCCTGAAATTGAGTGGAATAACCATAACATGGCAAAATTGTATATATCTGTTTACTTCTTGTTTTCTCGAATAAGGAGTTTTGACCCACAGCCATGTACGTCCATGATACGAATCCTGTGTCTGATGGCTGTCTTGTATTTTGGTTTGACACCTCCCATTGAGGAATTTTTAAGGCTTACGCTCTTCCTTGGGACATTTTAGGCGCCAGTCCAACAATTACAGCATGGCCCATCTTCAACTACAAATGGAGTTTTTTGCTGTTGGGTTGGTTTCAGATTTCTCGCTCTTTGAACAACCTTTGCAACTGGAACTGGGATTGTTGTAGTATAACCCACCCTGCTGTGCATAAATATAAATCCACCTAAGGGTCTCTACATGGGGTGAGAAATCACATTTTACTTCAGGTTTTTATGATGGGCCTCTCATCCATATCAAGTTCGGTTGAGACACCCGTTTTTATTGTTGGCGAGATCATGGCTTTGTCTATAAACTCTAAACATCATATCTTCTATTCATATCATATTCATATATATATGTATTCTTATTATATTCATTTCATATTCATACCATGTACATATCCCCATCATTCAAAGTTGAACCTCGAGTGATTCCCAGCCATCAACTCCACCAAGGCTACACAATTTCATTGGCTCCCCAGCCGCCACAGTTGCCACAGCCACCATGACGGCGCGGCTGTGACCGCGGACACCGCGGACTCTGTGGAATGGACGCTGAAAATGGTTGGTGCTGGTGGCGAATTTGGGAAGAGATTGGTGGAGAATTTGGTGGATAATGGGGTTAATGCACATCAATTGCTGGATATATCAGCTAATGGATATATCCACCAGTTAATACACTAATACATTAATTGATTTGCTACACTGATATCAGTTAATGCACATCAATGGGGTTGAACCGTAACGCATTTTGCCACTTTTCCACACTTGGTTAAACACGTCTTCATTTTTCTGGGCCAGATATGCCCAATTCGGTTGGAGTTGGATCTTTGGGATATTGCACTTTGTAGAAGCCAGCTGAATTTCTTGTACCTGTTTTGTTTCACAACTTTTGATTCGACAGTGCAACGCGTGCATCAACATGTCAGACCTCTCAAGAAGAAAAAATCTCAGGTTGGTGGTTTGGAACATTTTTTATTTTCCATGATATGGGATAATCCTTCCCATTGACTTGTTTGAGAAGAAATCCAAAGGGGACCGAGTTCTGCGAGTTCTGTTTCTGGAGATCTACTGAGTTACTGTTGTGCTTGATTCGATATTTGGAAAGGAAGGCATTACCACGCTGTTGATGTTCATACTTCGGATGTTGCTTTCTTCGATTGTGCCACTTGTTTTGAGAGTTTCCTATGAGGTTCTATGATGTAGCTGATATCACTGATATGCTCTAAGTTCCAGCTTTGCGGTGCATGTGTAGAGAATCGTTTTGTAGCAAGTTGTAGACTTTCGGGGCATGTGTAGAGAACCAGCTCACCCAGAGTTAATCTTAAAATTTGACTATAGCAACTCTTAAAAGATAGAACGGTGAAATCAGACTAAAATTGACAGTGGGAACATACTTTTCTATCCTTTCGGGCTGCAAGAGACGTTTTTCTGTTCTGGTCTCAGGGACTCCCTGACTGGCAGAATCTGATGACCGGTTCAGGCCGGCGGCTTCCGTCCGTTGTGAGCTTCCCTTTTGGATCCTTTTGGAAGAGATTTTGTACAGTTATGGTCATTTACCAGTTATGACTGGCTATTAAATGGGATTATACATTCTATAAATGGGGTTATAAATACTTAATGATAATTGGTAAATGGCCAAAACTGTACTCAATGCGTGGTTGAAAGATGGGGGTGTCTCCAATTCCCTTCATGTATGCTTGATTCACCTCAGTTCGTACGCAACAAAGCAAGACAAAGCAAAACAAAAAAGAGCAAAGCAAAACAAATGAAAGTTTGATCAGTTTGATCATCACTTGTTTGAACGCAATCAATTCGGGTCCCACCATTGGTACTCGCACGACGAGTAGCAATATCGCCAAGTCGTCCCTCGGTTCGGTTCAGTTCACCTTTTCAAATCAATTCTGTCACGGATCGCCTAGTACCTAGTTGGTGGGTTGCAATATGTTTCTCTTCCATCCCTGCTTCAGATAATCATTGCAATGGACAAGCATCCAAGAAAAGCGAGATTTATAATGATTTTTAAATCAACCAGATCAGTTTATGATTGCACAACACCCGCACTAGCTTTCAATGATCGATTTATATCCCCGTGTTTGGCCTAAATAGACCATCTCCACCCAGCTACCTCCCAGGTAACAACGGCAACTCAGCAAGTGCACCTCTACTACAGGCAGTGAAATCGCTGCAGCCGGGCGACCGCAATGACCAATCCATGGCATCCATGGCATCCATGGTGCGTCTAGCTATAAATCAACCGTTTGTCTCGGGCATGAACATCTGGTTGGTGATTAATGATGTTTTTTTATATGGTTATTAATGGTTATTAATGGCTAGTAGAAACCTCCAAACGCCAAGTTGCCATCCTCAGGCGGAAGCCCCAGGGATCCCAGCTGCGAGAGGTGCGAGTGGCAAGCGAGTCGCCAGCCGGGCGCGGGGTTCACAACCTCATCTGGGAAAGATGTGGAACATGTTGATGAAAATGGGTGGGTTGAGTGAAAAAAAATGATTTCAGCCCAAATGTCTCAACTAATCCTCAGCTGGGATTTTTGGTTAAAATCAACGTTGAACTCAACCATCACACTATGATTTTCTGCCAACAAAAATATGTTTTTTTCAGCAGGGTCACGTGGGCAACAATGTGTTCATAGCCCGTACTTGTTGAGTTTCCCATTGATTCTTTAATAATTAATCCCATAGTTGGTACCCTCCGGTAAACTAACATAGCTATTGAACATGGCCATTTATAGTGAGTTTTCCGATTAAAAATGGTGATTTTCCATAGTTATGTTAGTTTACCAGAGGGTAATAACATACATATATATATATCCTCCTATATCTATTCATTCCAGTATGATTCCATCTTTGTTGTTTGAAAACTCATTTTCAAATCAGATTTGCTACAGCCCACTATATCTGGAGATAAGTTCCCAACACTTTTTAAACAGATCCAGTATATCCAACAATTTTGAGTAACATATTGTATCCTCATTGCTGCTTATCCCAGATTGACCATGTCTATGACGCAAGCCAGGTGCGGCAAACGGCAGCTTCCAACCTTTCACAGGTGGTGGACAACGTGGGGGCCCTGGCAGGGAGGATTGTAGGAGCAAATCTGCACCCATGTTTGGAGATATTTCTAATTTAGTAACCCCAAGAAAAGACAGAAAGCTGGATTTATCATAATTGCAATTGGATTTCAATAACTTCTAGCTATTTGAGTGTTGCTATATCTGAGGAAAATCCTCAAAACAGATGAATTATATAGATCTTCAAATTGTCAAACCCCAGGTTTGGGTAGTTCATGGCCCACGAGATGGAGGACTTGTTTCAACTTGTCTTACTCTTGTTGAGATGTGTTAGATATGCCCAAGATGTTCAGGGTATGAGTTTTTGTCGGCTGTATTTTGATGGGTTGATATGTTTGTGATGGGTTTGCTGCAAAAATTGGGGGATACGCCATCTTGATAACCATGGGCACGTCGTAAATGATGAGAAACCAAATTTCAGACAGCTGCATGTGTTTGTGATTCAAGTCGTTCGGGTGCCAAACATTCCAAGTTTCATACCCCCACACTTGATAGCTTTGAAATGTTTTAAAACCTATGTTGGAATGCGTCAATCTATCCCATCACTATTCTTAAACCATCTGGCTTTACCAGAGAAGAAACACGGAGGTGTCCTAAGTCATGGGGGTACCTCCAAATCATCCAGTCGGCATGACACCATGTGACGACCGGGGATCCCCACCAAAAAAGGTTAGCCCAGGGGCCCAGCTGAAAGCTGCGCCCCGGTGTCTCCGAGTCAGCCAGGCTTGGGATCCTAGCGGAAAATTCAACACATTTTGAAGTAATGTATACAAATATCCCATAGTTAGCTAAGGTTTTTTTTAAACTCCAATTTCACTATGGTTTATGGTAGATATATCTATACCTATTTTGGTTTATAAACCAACAAACATAACTGGGGGGGTTACCACCTTATGTAAACAATATCCATGACTGGTGGTTTCTTAAAATGGGAATGGGGATTCACCCAGTCGTCACCAAAAAAGTTTTAATATTAAAATGGTTATCCAGTTGTCCATGACTTGGATGATTTGGGGGTACCCCTATTTTAGGAAACCTCCATATGTATATATATATATATATTTCATGATATTTACCTAGATACAGGGTGAGACTCCCTAGGTACCTATGTTGATCCATAATTTGGTTGACCTTTGGGTTTGTTGGGGGCACAACTATAGTTAATGTGTGTATCTAAACCAACTCAAAATTGGGGTGCCTCACCTTATAATATAATATAATATAATATAAAATATCATATAATATGATATAATATAATATAATATATATATATAGAAATTATTATGAAAACATTATATATTATTTTCTGCAACCAAGATATGGGCATGGATTTTACGATATTCCCAGGAATTATAATAATATTTATTACAAAATTGTACATAGAATGATATATAAATATATTGTGTTTAGATAATTATAATGGTTTGACCTATTAATAATAAATATATTGTTATTATAATATTTAAATTATTTAATTATTTCTTAATAAATATAACATATAAATAATTTATAAAATATATAATAAAAACAAATTAATAAATTTAAATATATATATTTTATAATTTAGATTATTTAATTTTAAAATATAATATAAAAATATATATACAATTATATTATATAATTTAAATGAATATAATTTATGTTGAATTATATATTTATATATTAATATTTATAATATTTTGAAAATAATATTTTGAAATTAATGGAATAATATTTATTAATATTTAAATTGTATAAATATATATATATTGAATATATATATAGAATTTTGAAATATTTTAATTATATTTCAAAAAAATAAAATATATTTATTATTATTTTTTTACACAATGTTTTTTAAAAATTATGTAATTAAATATATATTATATTAAAATAATAAAATATTAATTATATTATATGTTTAGTTATATTTATAAAACATAATGTATTATTAATAGTATTCGCACGAGGCGGGGCGGAAGTTGCCTTAGAGACATATAACTTGCATGCGCCGTGCGCTAGCTAAGCCCGTGCGTGCGTGTATTTTGCGAAATTGATGTTGCGTTTTACATATTATATTTGAAGCCCTACGTCATACTTTCACATTTGATAATCTTCACACTTCACACTGCACCCTTCGCAATCAACACTTCATACTTCTTACTTTACACTGCACTCTCCCTAATCCACACTTCTCACTCCATACTTTACAATCCACACTTTACACTTCTTATTGCTTTCTTCACACTCCAGACTTTATATTTTATACTGCACTCTTCAGGCCCCACACTTTACACTGCTGTAGCTTCGGGGGTTCCAAGAAGCAGGTCGAGACACACGAAGTTCTCTGACAGGAGCTGCGATGCACACGAAGTCAGCAGCTTTTCAGCGTAGCGCAGTTCGGCATGTGTTGCCCACCCACTGTTTTGGGCCGGAAGGCCGCGTTGAAACACCTAAATAAAATGGATACCTGCAGGTCAGGTGGCTTCAGTTGCATGCCAAAACCTATGCAAATGACACGGGGGAAGGTTTCTAAGAACCCATGTCACAGCTCTATCCAGTCGTTTGACTTGGATACTTAGGCACAGCAACAA